AAAGTACTTTTTTACCTTGAATTGTATTGTTTTCGATGCAGTGTCGACGAAGGTCTCATCTGCTATGCATACTTAACATTATGAATAGAAAAAGCCTCGGAAAAATGGTTCAAAATCGCTTCTCCCCAGCAAACTTTGCAACTCAGTTTTGACCTATCCCAAAAAACGCATATAAGGCAAAAATGAAAACCGCATTTTTGTGACTCCTTATTCGGGACCTCGTACAAATCGAACGCCACTTATCCGAAAAAAGCGCGCACAGCGCCGAAAGACCTCCCTTGTCAGTTACGCAAATATAGCCCAACTCGTCACAGAGTGTATTCCACAAGATAATGTACAGGCAAATCGAGACTCTCTACAAAAACCAAGGTATCTAAACAGTATTTGCATAAGCGCATCAAAAAAACTTTAATGGAAATCGGAGTATGGTGCTGTCCCGGAGTCTCATTACTCATCTGAATGTGTAATAACAATGTGAAACTCCAAAAGTTTATTCCAAAAAACTCAAAAGACAGCAAAAGTCTCAAAAGTTTTTTAAAATATATCTTATCTGGCTATATTTCGGTGCGTAGCACCTTCAATCAGGCCCAAATATCCCCGGCAAATCCATTTGGAATTCACATTGTATTGCACAGTATGCATATATGGAACTCATATCCAAATGTAAATCCAAAAAAGCTTCTTTCAAGCGCTTGATATGGGCGACCTGAAACATTACAAGCAGCGCTCGCATCTGTGGCAAAAGGGTCGTCGTATCAAAACAATAATTGCGAATTATCGAAAACAAGAAAGGGCGTTCGATTGAAGAACATAGAGTGAAATGGCGCTAGTCTGCTACAGGGTGGGCGAGGGGTTTTGTTGTAAAACTCTAATTGTGGTAAAGGAGCGTCTTCAACCACTTGTGCAAGGTTTTAGCGATCGCAGCGTTTTCAAAGCGAGGAAAAGTAAATCATTATCGACTAAAGCGCTTCGCTCCTCCGCTATTTTCCATCGTCCTCTGCATAACCATATCCTAGACGCGCGTACTCGAAAGCTTGACGCAAAGTTATGAACGCACTCTAAAATGCCTGCTTTTGTTCTGCGCAAAATACAAAAAGGGTAACCAAACGCCGCTGTGGAGGTGCGTACGGTTTGCAGCGCCTTTATCGACTTTGTTTCCAGAGTGCCAGAACCTGGACACAGATTGCCCGGGGATTCATGTCTCAGTCATGCTAAGCCTTTCATTGGGAAGGGACCCAGGAGTACTTCTGAATGCCCCTCTCCTCCCAAAAAACGTTAGCGCCCCATACAGAACGAGGGCAGTATTGTATGCTTATCAAGGACCGGCTCCTACTTCTCTTGAAACTTCGAGAATGGAAGTTGAAGCCATTTCCTAGTAACTTTACTCAATTCTTGATCGCTGTGGATGCTGGGGCGATGATCGGTGAGGCTGGGTTTGGCACCACACCAGCACCTTTCTTTAGGCATATAAAACCTACCACGCCCACGTTTCCGCCTCGCCCGCTACAAAACTGACAGCTCAAGGCGATCGAGGTACAAGATCCCCACAAGGACCTGAGCAGGCACAACGCTTCGCTGAAGATCTGCAAAATACTCCCCACCAACAACGCGATTTACTTGTATCCGCAGATTGCAGGCTTCCAAGAAAAATTACGAGATCTAGCAAAAACGATGACCTCCTATAGTGAAGAATGAATCAGGCAAAAAAAACGCAACGGAAAGTACACACACATCCCTCCAGAGGAACACGCGCCATATTATGGTCCTATCGGTGCAAAAAAAATCGGAACAATATTGGAAAACCCTACAAATTAACCGGCAAGCACATTCCAAGCTCTTGGTTTGCACGCCACGAAGGCCGACGGAATTTTTACAAACACATGTCTATATCAGGCGAGTCTTGCGCCCAGTTCCGCGAATAGAATAAACACTGCAAATAGACGCGAATGCAGGAACAACCACCAAATTTTTCAGCGATTCGGGACGCTTCGAATATTCATGTGGCCTCTGTTTATGGCACTCGCAACGTCAATACTGCAGTAATCGGTGAAAACAAATTGACAGGAAATTGAGGTATTTGCGCAATAACCACTATGACGCATAGATGAGAGACGGAGAGAGCGAATGCTATGAGGATGATGAGACCAGCTGTGGGAAGAAAAAGATCGATCGCACCCGGCGACAGACAAGTACCATCAGTAAACACGCCCAGTGGTCTCTGACCTTATCAATATGCCAATTTTCAACAATGGTTACCGCATGTCACCCCACCATTCCGTTATTACACTTGTTGACGACATTGCTTGCAAGTTGTTTACCCGCCTTGATCTACACATTTTGTTTGAAGGAGGGGAAAGCCGTACGTACGTTCATTGCTGCTGGGAGAGACCTACACCTTTCTTGAAGGCCAGCAATGAAGGAAATCGACCCCTTGTTGAACGGCACATGTTCGTGATGATCCCGCAGTCTAAAATTGTAGTAAATCGCAGAATTCAATTAAGAAAAAAGAAGAAAAAAACGATCCTCCGCGAGTATAAATTGAAAGAATCCTCCTGCGAGTATAAATAAAGCAACGCCTATGAGAGATCAGACGTGCAGGAAAGAGAGTGCCGCTCTTTGCTCGATGGCAGTTCTTTATGGGAATCTGATGCATTTTGAAAAAAAAAGAACGGAAAACTGGTAAGAAGTTGGAGGATGTCGGGGGGAAATAGATGGTGGGGACGATGCAAGATGAGGAAGGGGGTGCGGTTCTTATCAGAGGAGGGAAAGGGGCATATTATGCAATATTCCTCTCCAAAGGCGTGTGTCCTAGTGGAGAGTGAACGCTAAAGTAGTGGCCGCCAGCACTGCAAGTACATACAAAACGCAATTAGCAACTAGGAAACGCCATAAGCAAAATATGTAGGCTCATTACGCCCTTGCCCTGAGCAATATTTTCAAGGGACAATGAGCTTTCCTGATTGCAAATTAGAGTGTTTGATTAAAATTACGGACACCGGCTACTTAGTATTCACACCAACATTGTTGCCATCCTTGGCTCAGCCTCACAGGCAGTCCGGACATGCTAATCAAGACACTGTTTTTTCAGCACTACTGATGCACGCGTTTTTGATTTAACTGGGACAGGAAATAGGCCGAGAAACTGAACAAGTGGCTGCTGTTCTCATAAATAGAAATAGATATAACACCATTCTTCACATAAGGCGCTTACCAAACTATTTGGGAAATACGATTTAACATGAAGTATGAGCCTAGTTGAGGATAAATCAAAATTCGAATGGTTCTCAGGCGAAATAGGAGAATACCAATAGTACCACTCCAATGGTATAGGAAATAAGTAACCTTAGGCAACAATCAGCTCACTCTATGGAATATTCTCAAAAGAATCATTGGGAGGTGCGATGTGCACCTGGCACTAGCGGCATTGCACGCAAAACGCCAATCATTCTGGTTCTATGAACTGCTCTTTCAATAAATTCTAAATGATTGCTCGACCTCTGGAACTACCGGAACTCAACACTCATTCTTGTCCCACGCTTTTGACGGCGCTCACTCTCCTGGAATGGTGAGATTAGCACCCGCCTGCCTGACTGGAGTGACTGCGAACTAATTTTAAGCCCATATGCAACGTCAAATATGAAGAAAATCTTTAGCAAAATCTAGCAAATTTCAAAAGGGGAGAGAAAGCGAAAGTAGGTCAGTTCCCGTTTTGTACCTCCGTATTCCTGAGATAGACAGGGCGTGGCTGTGTACCCACTCGAACTGGCGGTGGTTACTCGGTAAACATGCCTCTGTTCAGCGCAAGAAAGATTACAGTACACTCGTACGAAATAATCTCACGATAAATTGATTCCAGTCTGTATTCAAGTGAAGCATCGGCAAGGGAACAAAGGTATAAGCAAACAAATGTAATGAATTTGTCAACTCTAACTGAAAACAGTGCCATGAGAAGGAAACTCCTTGATAAACAGTGGAACACCCGCAGCCCTTTCTCAAATACTTTCAGCACCTTGCCAAACCCTCGCGGGAAACTATTACCGAATGTACTCTACCTACTTATTTCTTTAGTACCTTTTCGTAATAACACCCCTCCCGGACACTGAAATCTTTCATCCCCTTCTTCAACTTATACTCTTGAAAAGAAATACGACTTCCTTAATGCATTTCATCCCGGTATTATTCATTTCCCATCACAAATCTCGAATAAATACTATGACATACTCCTCCCAATCATATCAACTCAAACTTCATCTAACAGTGGTTAAAAAAAGGACTATGCAACAGACGAACAATATGACCGGCATACCACGACTAACCATAAGGCTACGTCCATACTTCGAGACTCAATTCATGCAGTCGCGCGACTGCAACTGAATGCGTTCTCCCGCTAATGGTTCGAATGCTGCTACTATTCAGTCAGGATAAAACTTTGTTTGATCATCGCAGCCGTCCAAGCATTAGCGGTGGAGCGCAGTCAGTCACAGTCGCGTGACTGAATCGCGAACATCTTAGGCCCCGTTCGCTCTAGTCTCGAAGCGCGAACGCGACCTAAGATGTTGAAACAGCTATCGTGACAACATCCATTGCTGAGAAGCACTCCGTACTGCACAGCAATACTCCACTAAAGTAAAGCAGAGCCAACTACTGATGATACTCAACGGCAAACTATAGATGAACCTTCACTAGAAACACATAAGAGGCATATCTCACACGACAAGACTTATACTCATTATCACCATAAATAGCATCCGAAGCAAGGAACAGTTGAATGAGGAGCCCAAGAAGAAACTGTAGCCCACCTCACAACACAGTTCGTTTTACACCACTTTGTCCTCATAATGATTATCAAATCGTGATTATCAAAAGCGGAACAAAAGTAAATGACAGTGCTTGTGATGAAACAGAAAAATTCTGAAAAATATCCGTATTCCGTGGGAAACAATCAAAAATAGTATTACATATAACAACTAGGAGACATATATTCAACAGTAAAGAGGTGATCATCCACTGAGATCGTTATGATCGAACATAGCCTGGTCGTAAATTTCTGCTGAAACTGTATTTCCGCCGAAGAAACGTTTATCAAGAGCTGCTCGGGCGGCATCAACCTGAAAAGTAGTGAAGGTAAGCATCTTCTCCACTCATTACTCATTCCAAAAAGTAACAAATGCCTTACCTGTTTGGGATCTGCGAAACGGACAAAGATCTTCACTATTCCGGCACTTTGATCATTTGCTATTACAACCTAAATACAAATTACATGACTCACATGACAATCGCAGGAAGTAAATGCTACGTGATAACTGTATCTTTTGATCCTTGGTGCGAAATGCTGGTGCGCAGAGGAATGAGGGTCTGCGCCTGCCAAGGCATCGAGAAATGCAAAAAATGTGTCACGAGCCAGAGGATGAGCTTATTAGGGAAGGCAACTCCGGGGATGACTAGCCACTCCACTTATCATGTGTGAAAGGTTGGAATGTTTATGGTCACGGTGATCACATGATGTCATGCAGATGTGAGAGCGCAGAGGAAGCAGGAAGTTGTTGAGATTAAAAGGACTGAGTTCGAGTAGTTAAAATTTGATTTGATTTCACATAGTGTCTTTATGTTTATGATGTTCACACAAATTTTTGTTGAGTTTTTTAGAGGAGGGGGGGGAGGGGAGGTGATTCAAAGAGTTCGCTTAGCTTCAACTTGCCCTACACCACTGCTGACCGCTGGACCGCCGCTATTCCCTCATTATTCGCCTGTTTCCGAGGACACGAGGCGCACCACCGAGCCAAATCGAGCCTCCAACTTCGCCCCAGATGCGCCCCGTGTCCGCAGCGAATGCTATTTCGCTAACGATCCTATGCTTGGACATTTCCTGTAGAGGGAATCCAAAAAACAGCGCGTCAATAACTCAAAATCCGTGGACAGGCTGAACTGACCTTTTGAGTTCAGATATGAAAAATGGTTAGTGGGGGTTTATTAATGATGGTTCACACAAATTTTTGTTGAGTTTTTTTTAAAGAGGGGGCAGGGGGGAGGGAGGCGATTCAACAGAGTTCGCTTAGCTTCAAGCTTTGAGGCACTATGACACGACCTGCTGAGCTGGAGACGGGCAGCCGGGCTACATAATGCGGCGCTCTTTATGTCGCGGCTGTTTGGGCGAGGAACGAGGCGGCAGAGCGCGAGCCAAAATCGAGGCTTCAACTTCGCCGCCAGATGCGCCGCGGCGTGTCGCAGGAATGCTATTTCGGGGGTAACGAATCGCTATGCTTGGATCATTTCCTGTAGAAGGATCAAACAGCGGTAAATACTCCTTCAAATCCGTGACAAGACTGTAATTGATCTTTTGAGTTAGATATGAAAAATGGTAAGTGGGGATGGGAGGGGGGGGGGTTGGCAATATAATTTTTAATGATAAGCGACTGCGAACACTACGATGAGCATCACACCATCCATTGGCTAGGCCATTTTTAAGCATTCAATAATATTGACCATCTTGCACGTCACGTATTCATTGAACACTCCTGACTGTGATTTCATCTTTCAAGGTAATCGCGATGTTTGGGGTTACCTAATACATCTTATTGAACAAAACTTCCTCGTCTAATTCTTTATTTTAGACTTTCATGAGCATTAAAAGACCCGCTTACCATATTACGCAAGACCAGCACAGTAGACCGATTTGTTCGCATGAGTTTCGCCATGAGAAGGTGCCGAGCGTCATTCCCCCTGAATAAAGATACTTATTCAGGGACCATAAATCACGAGTAATTTATGACAAAACAAACCGAATAGCTAATCCTTCTTGCGAGGCTAACGTTGCATCTTCACTATTCATCTGTTCATTAATTACAGCATCAGAGAGTTCGCCAGCTTTGGCTGCAGCGGCCAACGCTTGCGCCGTGTTAAGCTGAAAATATCCGTAACGTTAGCAGTACTGCTGAAATCACCAAATATACTTCTCATTTCATAAGTACCGACGTGGTAAGCCCTGAAGGACACTGGGGATCTTGCAGTTGGTTTTTTTTTGCAAAATACGACTCCCTCAAAGTTTTCTACTTCGGTTTGACCCCCTCAGTTCCTCATCTTCTATCCTGTCTACCATCACCCTAAATTCGTCCAAGTTCCCAACACTTCCCAGAGGTTTTTTTTCGAAGATTCTCCATTTGTTCTCCAAAACTATCGTCGGAGATGGTACATGGTGCACTTGAAACAGGAAAAACAGCAGGCAGAAACGTTTTTCCCGAAAGCTAAGATGACCCCCCCCCCTCTGCCTGCAATGACAAAGTACGGCGACCTCCTCGCTGAGGATCCCCAACAGATGACGTGTTCTGACTGCGGGCTACCGGAAGATGCAGGAACCCAGAAAAAAAAATAAATAGCAAATTAACCTTGGGTTGGATCTTCTTTGCCTCCACCACCCTCTTCTTCTTCTTTTGAGGTTCAGCCGAGTCACCTTGTCCAGCTGCCTGAAGTTCACATATTACTTTTGCATAAGCGGGAACCCTAATATTGTACTAGGAGTCGTTTGAAGCTATTAAATTCAGTTCTTCCGATCTAGGTGAGGTCATTCTTATGTTGGACAAAATGTAGTGCTAAAAGGCGGGAACCCTAATATTGTACTAGGAGTCGTTTGAATATTAAATTCAGTTCTTCCGATCTAGGTGAGGTCATTCTTATGTTGGACAACATGTAGTGCTAAAAGGAGCAAAGAAACCCACATGAGCGAGCGGAATGAGAATTTAGCCTAGGGCTAGAGGGAGCTCCAGAAAAGGTGAACTGAATTTTATTTGTCTTACTACCGTGTTGAAAGCTAAGGCGCTTAGGGAGGGGCAAGTTGAATATTCTCTAATTTCTTTTGCCTGTTGAGTTTCAACGTGTTTCTTCTCGGTGAGACCTGTAGATTCTTGTAAACAATAAACGAAGCTCGTGCTACCGCATAGCTTTACAGGAATTTACAGGTATCTACAGGAGGCATCGGCTTGAATACATCTGAACAAGGAAATGCCCCCTCTTGCTGAACAGCGCCGGTTTTGAGTGCCTCGAGATCTGCAACAAAATGCTGCAACTTTTTGAAGAAAAAATGTCAGTTCTCTAATGGAACTTAACATTCAGGTATCCAATACTGCAAATTCAACTGAAAGTACAATCCGAAATACTCGGAGCAAAGGGAAACCAATACACATCCTTTCAACAAAAGCGACAA